CACTTATCCATATCTATCTCTTTTTCTTTTGTCTTTTTGCTTTTCGGATCCCAATCGGTGTATATTATTTTCTTTATTAGCATAATATTAACTACAAGGAAAATGTCTCGTACCTCAAATTTTGTGGTTCAAAAGTGGCTACTGATCTTCCAAAGCTCCATTCCACTTATCCATATCTATCTCTTTTTCTTTTGTCTTTTTGCTTTTCGGATCCCAATCGGTGTATATTATTTTCTTTATTAGCATAATATTAACTACAAGGAAAATGTCTCGTAACTCAAATTTTGTGGCTCAAAAGTGATTTAAATGGCCAAAACGACGTCGTTTTGGCCATTTTTATGTTGTTCTGTACTCAAAATGACGTCGTTTTGACCATTTAAGCCACTTTTGAACCACAAAATTTGAACTACGTAGCATTGTCGTAACTACAATCCCTTCTCTTAATTAGCACGCGTTTCTCACGAGCATTTAAAAACAAAAAAAAATACGTAACAAATAGGTTTGATTAATATATAGTAAAAAAAAATTAAGATAAAATTTGATATGCTCGAACATTCTACATCTTAAGTAGAACAAAAAGTGATTTCTCAATTATTTTTACTATAAATAAGTAAAAAAATATAAGATAAATTATATTGACACCCTATGAGATTTATTTTTATTACAATTCACCGCATCACATTTAAAAAATTACATTGGCCCCCTGTTAATTTAATTTTAGGATAAATTACACTTACCCCCTGAGGTTTGGGTTTAATACATATTACCCCCTGACGTTTGGGAAATTACACTAACCCCCCTCTGTCATTGTAATTATTTAGACGGAACGAAAACATTGAACTCATGCACTCTCTTTTTTTTTGCTTTGCTTTGCTTTGCTTTGCTTTAGCCTCCGTTTGGGAAGTGGGTTGGCTTTTTGACTTTTTGGCTTTTTTAACTATATGAGCCTAGACTCAAAATCTTAGTTTGGGAAGGGCTTTTGGCTTTTTGGCTTTTTTGATTTTTTTGTGAGAGAAGAGTGTAATGATTATGGGGTTGGATGGGATGTTTTGTCTGTTGTGGCTCATGAGCCTATTCTGTCTTTTATGGCTCATTGAGCCAAAAAACCCCAATGAGCCCTTGCCAAACCAACCCAAAAAAGCCCAACTCATGCACTTTCTCTTTTTTTTCCTCTTTCCTTTACCTTTTTTTTTTAATGTAATTTCCTCTGTTTTTCTATTAGGAGTTGTTACCTTTTATATAAGCATGAGGGTTTGTGAAATGAAATTATTAACCACAGGGGTGAGAATGCAATTTCCAAAACGTCAGGGGGTGGGTAGTAATTAAACCAAACTTCAAGGGGCGTCAATGTAATTTACCCTTAATTTTATGTATGATAATCATTACGGTGAGGGGGGAGCTGTCATGAAACTTTAAATCTCATGGGGCAATCTGTAATGAAATTTTAAACCTCAGGGAGAGGGATGTAATTTTCAAAATGTGAGGGGGGAACTGTAATAAACATAAATCTCAAGGGATGTCAATGTAATTTACCCAAAAATTATATTATGTCAACTTAATTATGTGACATATCTATCTCATAAAATACTTTTTCTATATGATAAATAATTTGGTTTTGGGTACTAAATGCAATCCAACCATTTAAAATGTCAACAGTACTAGGTGGTCTAAATTTCATAACTCGAATGGCTCGAATATCTCAAAACGATGTTATTTTGGGTGTAAAATGACGTCATTTTATATGTAAAATGACGTTGTTTTTAACACATTCAAACTATTTAAATTACATATATTCAGGCCACCAAACATTTTTCTTAAAATGTCTATTTAAACAAACTTTTTCATGTAGCGCACTTGGTGGTGTACCCAAACGTAGCCCACCAGACCAAAACAAAATAACCGGTAAGAATTGTTTAGTAATGATGATACAGTTCGTGATGGTAGAACGGGTTGGATTGATCCACGCTCCTTAAGCCTATGTCCGAATGACCAAGCCCACCTGAAGACCTGCACAAGAGTTCAACAGGGAACAGGGAGTCCCCCAGTGAACCCTCCGACGAGCAAGTTAGAGAGAGAGAAGTGGAGTATAGAGATGGAGTAGAGATAGAAAAGCTTAACCTTCTTTCTATCTTCGACGTCTGCTTAAATCCTCTGGTAATCATTTCGTTGTCCCTTCCGACCTGTCACCTTGGCCGAAAGTCTATGCTGTAGCTTACCTTGTTCAAGGTGAGGGCGTGCCGTCCTAACGGAGAGGGGTTATCGTAATAAATGCTGTGAGGGGCCTCATTAATGGCGATGTGCCGTGACAATAACTTTGCAAATCTTTGTCTGCTGATGTAGCTTGCCCTTCTCTTGCCATGTGTCTTGATGCCAGTGGCTCTTATTGTTGTGTGGGGCTTCAACAGTGCTGGGCTTCATTAATTGAATTATGTATTGGGCCTAAGTGGTAGGCTTGGGTTGTTCATAGTGGGCTATAGCCTTTGTGGGCCTACCCATGTCAGTAGTCCCCCATTCCCAAGTGCAGTTTTAGTCTAACGAAGGGAATAATGAAGAAAAAGAGGGTTGTAAGAGGGTTGACCAACCATGAGGAGGGTCGACCGCGCAAGGTGGCCGAGTGGAAGGACCGACCATGTGGAGGGCCGATCGCGAAGGGTGGCCAAGTAGAGGGACCGACTATGAGGAGGACTGACCGCGAAGGGTGGCCGAGTGGAGAGACCGACCATGAGGAGGGCTGACCGCGAAGGGTGGCCGAGTGGGGTGGAGGCCGCGGTGGTTCTATGTGTCCACCAACAGAGGGGTTAGAGTGCGCACAGTTTGGAAAGTGCCCACCAAGTCTGTGGAGCCAAAACTGGGGGCAGCAGTTGAGGAAAAAGTGAAGAAGGTGAAGGAATGAAGAGAGAATGAGGGTGCTAGATAGGACGAGCTCGTTCAGCCGTCGGCCTTGTTTGTCGCAGGGTTGGGTCCTCAGCCGATCGGTGGAGACCTCGAACCGACAGAATTAGAGGTGAGAAGGGAGGCGCAAGAAGCGGATGATAGGACTATTCTCGCCAAGGCCAGTAAATTCAAAGAGTCACAGGTAGACTGGCCGCTAAAACCGAGTGCGAGAGACAGGATTCGACCATGCCCCAAACCTCTGGGGGAGAAGGACTTGGGTGGATTTGAGCCACGACCGCCCACAATTGATCCTTTGAATGAAAGGGCCTACAAGGAGATGGGGGGTGTGGTGAAAAAAAAGAGCGTGAGGAGGAGTGAAAAGGAGCTTGCCTTGAAGAGGAGAAAGGAGGTGACGGCGGATGAGACCCCCATGGCGAAGGAGGCCGGGGAGAGGAGAGTGGGGGCGACTCCAGACATTCCCAAGTGCAGTTTTAGTCCAACGAAGGGAATAATGAAGAAAAAGAGGGTTGTAAGAGGGTTGACCAACCATGAGGAGGGTCGACCGCGCAAGGTGGCCGAGTGGAAGGACCGACCATGTGGAGGGCCGATCGCGAAGGGTGGCCAAGTAGAGGGAGCGACTATGAGGAGGACCAACCGCGAAGGGTGGCCGAGTGGAGAGACCGACCATGAGGAGGGCCGACCGCGAAGGGTGGCCGAGTGGGGTGGAGGTCGCGGTGGTTCTATGTGTCCACCAACAGAGGGGTTAGAGTGCGCACAGTTTGGAAAGTGCCCACCAAGTCTGTGGAGCCAAAACTGGGGGCAGCAGTTGAGGAAAAAGTGAAGAAGGTGAAGGAATGAAGAGAGAATGAGGGTGCTAGATAGGACGAGCTCGTTCAGCCGTCGGCCTTGTTTGTCGCAGGGTTGGGTCCTCAGCCGATCGGTGGAGACCTCGAACCGACAGAATTAGAGGTGAGAAGGGAGGCGCAAGAAGCGGAGGATAGGACTATTCTCGCCAAGGCCAGTAAATTCAAAGAGTCACAGGTAGACTAGCCGCTAAAATCGAGTGCGAGAGAGAGGATTCGACCATGCCCCAAACGTCTGGGGGAGAAGGACTTGGGTGGATTTGAGCCACGAACGCCCACAATTGATCCTTTGAATGAAAGGGCCTACAAGGAGATGGGGGGTGTGGTGAAAAAAAAGAGCGTGAGGAGGAGTGAAAATGAGCTTGCCTTGAAGAGGAGAAAGGAGGTGACGGCGGATGAGACCCCCATGGCGAAGGAGGCAGGGGAGAGGAGAGTGGGGGCGACTCCAGAAGGGGTGGTTGTCCTAGAGGTACAGGGAGACAAAGGTAAAGGGGCCCAAGAGGGAGAAGAGCACATGACTGCCATGGGCCCCAAGATGCAAGTAGAGAGTGGGTCAGCTGGCCTTGAGGTGCCCCAAGGAGAGGGAGAGGAAGCCAGGTTGAAGACCGCTTTTTACCATGCCCCAACCGTGTCTGGGGTGCTGGAAGGAGTAGGAGTAGAGGGCAAGACCGCTGCAAATTGCCTTTTATGAGTAGTGGAGGAGGCAGCCATGAGATCCGTGGCAAATTTTACTAAGGCTGAGCTGCTGAGGGGGTTGTGTTCTGCCTAAATGGAGGCGACCTCCTTAGTCAGGCCCTTCTGAGAAAGGCGGCGGCTGCAAAAGGTGAAGTGGGGCCGTTGAAGGCAAAGTTTGAGGGGGTGGTGGCCCAACTTGAGAACTTAAGGAGGGAGACTGCAGGTTGGCGAAAGGTCGCGCGAAGTGCGTGTGCTAGAGGGTTGGAAGAGGCTCAAAAGGCGAAGACAATGGAAGTGTTGGAGATCGTGCAGCGCAATGTTGCCACTCTAGCCCATGTTGAGCTGCTCGCGACCAAGTTGGAGCTAGAGGACGAACGCCGCAAGGTAGTATCGCTCAAGTTCCAGCTGGCTGGTGAGCAGAAGAAGCTGGAAGATGCTAAAAATGCCTGCACAGTCGCCAACGAGTGGTTTGAAGAGGCTATAACCAACAATGAAAATCTACGGGCCTAGTGGGTCAAAGAAAAGGAGGAAGCAGACCTGAAGATCACTGGGCTGGAGAAGGAGCTAGAAGATGAGCATGCGAAGGCAATGGAGGAGAAGGCGAGGTTGGAGAAGGAGTTGAAGGAAGAAAAAACCAAGGCAGCCTCTGAAATGGCAGCATACCCCGACCTGTACGTCGCAGTAGTGGAGCAGTTCAAGAGGTTTGCTGACTTCCAGATGGCGATCGATGCCGTGGTCGCCAGCAACTTGGCGAGAGAGGGGGCCGGGGGGGCTGGCCTGTCGGGAGCGACCGCTGGAGGCAGGAGTGAAGATGAAGTGATCCAGAGCTTCCAGCGGTCGGACTTCTACAAGCACGAGATGGCTGAGTACTGGGACAGCGGCTGGAAGATGTTTAAACGCAAAGTAGAACAACTATTCCCAGACTTGGACCTCAGCAGTGTAAAGATTGATGAAGACGACGTGGCCCAAACCCCCCTAGACGAGGGTGTTGAAGAAGAAGACCTCGTGTCAAGTGAGGAGGAATGACAGAAGTGGACAAAATTGTACTCAGAATTTTGGTTGTTTTGTTTTTTGTTTTTGTTTTTTTTTTTAATTGCTGTAATAAACTTGTGTTTAAGTTTGTGAATGAATAAAATTATAAGGTTGTGTTTGTCACACTGCTACCTTTATGTTTGTGAGTCCGAAATGAATGAGAATGGTTTATTCAAATTAGGCTTGACTTGTAAGGAAAGAGGCTGACTTGTAAAAGTTGATAAGTAAGGAAACAATCTGACTTATAAAGGAAGCATGTAAGAATGTCAAAAAATGTGAAGTTTCAAATCAGGCCCAAAAATGAAGTTGTAAATCGTGTTCTAAGGGTGTTGCTAAATGAAAAATTAAGTTAGGAAATGAAAGCCAAAAAATGTAAAGAGTGTTGAGAGATGTAAAAGCATGGACCTGGAATTTGACTAAGTATGGCTACTATGCCACAACCATGAAGTTGGCACGAATGGCCTTAACCGAGCTCTTCATTCGTGCTCAGTTTAGGTTAAGCTACGATTAACTGGCTCTTCAAGTAACTCAGTGTCTTTAATGCTGTGTTTGGTTGGGGTATTTGGAGAGGGATTTGGAAAGAGAAATGGAAAAGGTAGGTGAAATATGAATAAATCATGTCTATATTTCACATAGTTTCACACACCTTTTCCCTTTCCCTTTCCAAATCCCTCCCCAAATCCCTCAACCAAACACACCATAAGTAACTCAGTCTGGCTGAGGCTGTTCATGCTCAGTCGAGCGGGGTTCTTCATGCTCAGTCTAGCTGAGGCGCTTTTCATGCTCAATCTGGCTAAGGCTTTTTATGCTCAGTCTGGCTGAGGCTTTAAGTAACTCGGTCTGCTCGGGGTCTTCGTGCTCAGTTTGACTGGGTTCTTCATGCTCAGTCTAGCTGAGACACTTTTCATGCTCAGTCTGGCTGAGGCTTTTTATGCTCAGTCTCTGAGGTAAGTAACTCGGTCTGGCCGGGGTTTTCGTGCTCAGTCTGGCTGAGACTTTTTATGCTCAGTCTAGCTGAGGCATTTCATACTCAGTCTGGCTGAGGCTTTTTATGCTCAGTCTGGCTGAGGCTTTTCATACTCAGTCTGGCTGCGGCTTTAAGTAACTCGGTCTGGCCGAGGTCTTCGTGCTCAGTCTGGCTGAGGCTTTAAGTAACTCAGTTTGGCCGGGGTCTTCGTGGCCAGTCTGGTTGAGGCTTTTTATGCTCAGTCTGGCTGAGGCTTTTCATACTCAGTCTGGCTGAGACTTTAAGTAACTCGGCCTGGTCGAGGTCTTCGTGCTCAGTCTGGCTGAGGCTTTAAGTAACTCGGTCTGGCCGGGGTCTTCGTGCTCAGTCTGGCTGAGGCTGCAATCAAAGCGTTATTGGAATACCACACAAATAACTGAGATATAAGCTTGCTATCATTAAAGTGTAGCCCATTTGATCAGAAATTTACATCGTGTGAGAGAAGAATAAGAACATTCAAGTGTGTAGATTGCCTAAAAGAAAATACAATAACTGACCAGTACAAGAATGGGAAATTATTGAAAATAACGCTTCAAGTGTTCGGCGTTCCACGGATGGGGGAGGTCTCGACCTTTCATGTCCTGAAGTCAGTATGTACTCGGACGAGGTCTGACTTTAACAACGTAAGGTCCTTCCCACTTGGCTGCCAGTTTCCCTTCAGTCGGATTTTTGGTGGCAAGGGTTGCTTCTCGTAAAACAAGGTCCCCCACGGCGAACTCCCTCGGTCGGACTTTGCAGTTGTAATGAGTTCTCATTTTCTGTTGGTACGAGGCCCATCTGACTGCAGTGGTTTCTCGGAGCTCTTCAATTAGGTCTAGGTCTACCCGACGCAGCTCTTCAGTTAGTTCTGGATTCTGATGTAGAACCATTGGGGTAAGAAGACCGACTTCCACTGGGATGACCGCCTCAGCGCTGTATGTTAAGCGAAAGGGGGTCTCCCCAGTGGGAGTTCGAGCGGTAGTGCGGTAGGCCCAGAGTACATTCGGTAGTTCCTCAGCCTAGAGTTCCTTAGTAGCTTCCAACTTGGTTTTGATGATCTTCAGAGGAGAACGGTTGGTGACCTCAACTTGACCATTGGCTTAGGGATGACCTGGGAAAGAGAAACATGGCTGGATTTGAAGCTCTGCACAGAATTTCTTGAACTTGGCATTGTCGAATTGTTTGCCGTTGTCGGAGACGATGGCTTGAGGGATGCCAAATCTGTATACGATCGACTGCTAAATGAATCTAGTTGTGTTCCGCTCGATAATTGTGGCAAGGGGTTCTGCCTCCACCCATTTAGTGAAGTAATCAATGACGACAATGACAAATTTGGTTTGGCCTCGGCCAGTGGGTAATGGGCCGACTAGGTCGATCCCCCATTTGGCGAATGGGTAGGGACTGCAAAGCGTGATTAATTTTGTAGGAGGAGCATGGGGGATGTTGGCAAAACATTGGCACTTATCACATTTGAGCACGAAGTCTGTTGCATCCTGATTAAGAGTAGGCCAGAAATAGCCAGTGCGAAGTATTTTGTGGGCTAGAGACCGGGCGCCCGAATGATTACCACAGATACCCTCATGGATTTCCCTTATCACGTAGGTTGCTTGAGCAGGATTGAGGCATCTGAGGTATGGGCGTGAAAAACCACGTTTGTATAAGAGGTCGCCGACAAGAATGTAGTTGGACGACCGGGCCCTGACTTTGGCGGCCTGCTGTTTGTCGGCTGGCAGTTCTCCCGTTGTCAAGAAGAGAGAGATATCGGCCGCCCAGGGGATAGGTTCGTTTTGGAGAAAGTAAACTTGCTGTTGGTTTGGGGAAATGGCAAGGTGAGTCAAGTACTCGAGGCGAACACCGTGGCTGAGGTCTGACTGGTCTGCCGAAGCCAACTGAGCCATTTCATTTTCCTTAGAGTTTACTGTCCGAGGGATGTGCTTGATGTGGAAATTATTGAAGAGGCGAATGAGAGGGAGTGCAATGTCCCTGTAAGCCCGCATTGTGTCGTCCTTGGCGTCGAATTCCCTCGTGATTTGGCCGACAATGAGTTGGGAATCGCTGAACACTTGGACATGGCTGACACCAATGTCTCTGGCTAGGCGGAGACCTGCTAGCAATGCCTCATACTCGGCTTCATTATTGCTTACATCGAACAAGAAGCGGAGAGCACATTTGAAATAACCACCCTCAGGGGTGGTGAGGATAAGACCAGCCCCGCTGTCTTCTTTGTGAGATGATCCGTCGACGTTGAGGGTACAAGAGTGGGGGTCTTCTGGCTTGGTTGGGGGTGGTGGAGGCGGAGGAGCTGTAAATAAGGACAATTGAAAATATCATTAGATTTTTCAAGGGTAAAATCGTTAATTTGATAAAATATAAACTAATTTGACAAAAGTAAATGTCAAAAAAATATTTTTAATTTTTTTGAAATTATTTTTATCCACCAATGATAAAATTATGTAAAATTAATAAAAATTACATGATTATTTTTTAAAAATTAATTTTACATGTTCATCATCCAAATACATAATAAAAATTAATTTGGCAAAAAAAAATAAATGTCTAAAAGATTTATCAATTTTACATAATTTTATTTTTAGTAGGTAGAAATAATTTTTTAAAATTAAAAAATATTTGTTTGACATTTATTTTTGTCAAATTAGTTTATATTTTATGAAATTGACAATTTTACTCTTGAAAAATCTAATTATATATTCAATTGTCCTTATTTGGAACAAGATTCAAAATTCAGGGTCAAATGTGTCACAATTGAAAAGTCAGGGATCAAAGTGACACAAACCTCAAACTATAGGTACTATTTGTGTAATTTGCCCTAAATTTTAATATAGTAAAAAAAAAAAAAAAAACAAAGTGGTGAAACACAATCCGTGCATAGCACGGGTGATATGTTAATAATTATAAATTAAATGTGATATTTTATCTTATTAATTATTTTAGTCTATTTATTCGTTTAATGGATTATTTTAACCAAATTTTCTTTTCAAGTAACGTCTTTGTAATCTTCGAAAAATTTAGTTGGTTATTTTATTTTTTTAGCTATTTTAACTTGTTTAAAAAATTTATATTTAAAAATTTAATTAATTTTTTTATAATTGATTTTATAAATATAAAAATAACTATAAATTAAATATAATATAATATTTTATTTATTATTTAAATTTATTTATTTTTTAAAATTTTAACCCAATTTTCTTTCCACAAACGTCTTTGTGATCTTCGAGAAAGTGTCGTGAAAAGGAAAATTTTGGAACAATGTGACAGCTCTCACTGTTCCCTTTGACTTTACTTTATCAATTATGCACTTATGATATTACTTTCTCTCTCACTAATTCCAATTGTGTCATTTTCACTCTCGACTATCACTGTTCTAACTCTTTGTCCAAAAAAATTTTTTTAAAAGAAAATTATTTAAACAAATGCGATATATTATCTTTAAAGTGGAATTTCTTTTATAGAAAATAATACATTGTTTTCTAAAATAAAATAATTTTTTTTAAACTAATAAATTAGTTTTTAAACTTTTGCTAAATGAAGTTAAAAAAAGCTTCAGTCTCAGAAATAATTACTCCAATTTTTCTGGGTAATGAAATTGTATGATGGAAATTGGATGAATATAGTGTGTCCAAGCCTCCGTTTGGGAAGTGGGTTGTCTTTTTGACTTTTTTGACTATTTAAGCCTGGGCTCAAAAGTTTGGTTTGGGAAGGATTTTTTGACTTTTTGATTTTTTTGACTTTTTTTGTGAGAGAAGAGTACAATGATTATGGGTTGGATGTGATGTTTTGT